CCTTCGCGCCTCCTCGCAGCGGCCCTCGAGAGGAATAGGGGTGAGGTGCGCATCGTGGCCCGATGCACGTGCGCGGGCGACGGGGGGGGGGGGCGGGGGGACGTGTGGAAGGAAGAAGAGGTGGCTGTGAGGCGTACCGTGCGGACGCGGCCGCACGAAACCCTCGCAGGGAACCGAAGCCCTGAACCCCCGCGCGCGAGATGCACACGAGGGGGGAGCCGAAAACACCCTGAACGCGGCAACTTCTTCCACGGCCGCGGGAAGTCACCGCGCAGCGCGCGGAGCGAAGAAACCAAGGGTACCCCGACGACAAGCATCTGGTTTCTTGATGCGCGCCTCCACTGCAGGAAATGCCGTGTTGCCGGCCACGACGATCTACTCCCCCTCCCAGTCCTCACCCCACTTCTGCGGCAACTCACGGGAGCCTCCCACACAATATTGCTGGCCCTTGCGAACCGACGCTCGCCGACGCTCGTCGACACGAAATGGACGCCAATCGACGCTAGATCGGCGCCTCCTCATCGATCACCAGGCACCAGCGCACGCTAATGGTCTCCCAAACCGGCATTTCGAGGACGCGCGATGCTCCCATCAGCTGCTACCGACCCCCTACCCTCTTTAGGAGAAGAAAACACTAGAAGCGTAAACATTGGGCGCTCCGCGCGGACTTCCTGGATCCGCGCTGGACCCCCCTCCCTGGCGCGCGGAGGTGCCGCCCGGGGGGGGGGGCCCAGCACGGATCCAAGAACTGCGCGCGGAGCGCCAAAATTGTATGTTTGTGGCGTATTTTGCGAGGCGGGAATTTATCCATGTCCACCGCCTGGGAACCGCCGTCCTGGTGCCCCAGCGGGCGGTGGATATGGATACATATCTAAGCCCCTGGGGGCCCGAATGTGTCCATGTCCACCGCCTGCCGGGGCTCCGAGAACTGACCCTCCAGGCGGTGGTCATGTATAAATTCCCGCCTCGGATTTTCTTGTCTTCGAAGCGCCCCCCTCGTGGACGCCCCAAATGGGTACGGACAAAAACGGGTACAATGCCCAACAACAAGTGTTGTCCCAAACCAACAGCGGCCGCTGTTGGGCAGGCGGCCTTCTGTCTCAAATAGACACAGGCCGCGGCGGCGTGGACGGCGAGTCCCGCTCAAAATGAACAAGCACTGCTGTTGGGCAGTGTACCCACTCTTTCCGCACCCATGTTGGCCGTCCCCCCTCGTGGACGCCCCCGATCCTTGGGGGCGCCCTTCGCCAGGGCCCCCCCCGAGGCCGCGAAGAAGAGCGTGGCGATCATCACGGCCCCCAGCAGCTCGCAGCCGAGCAGCAGCGCCCTCATGGACCTCTCCCGGGCACCGGCGGCGCGCCCCCGGGGGACAGTCGGCGGCGACGACAGGTTGAGCAGGGGCCGACCGTCCCGGCATTTCTGTAGTCCTACCACGACTGTGTTCTTCGAACCCCAAAAAAAATCGAATAACAAAAACAATGTTCTGAGAACTTAAGCCTTACGTGTTAAAACAAGACAGCCCCAGCCTGAAATGCTCCAAGAACACATCGTGGAAACCACAGAAGGTTCTTAGAACATTGTGTGGTAGGGCTATAGGCGAGCCAGGACGGTTCGCCACTACTTGAGCAGGGGCGAATAGCCCTGGGGCGGGCATTTCACGCATTCGCACGGGAGCCTTGTCGAAGACATAGATCATCGGCGCCCCTGGATACGTGTATGGCTCCCCCCTGGGCTATTACCGTTCGCCCCCTGTCCTCGCCTCCGAGGTAAGGGGGAGGGGGGAAGGCCTCTTGGAAGGAGCCTGCTTCTTGGCAGGCGCAGGGCCGGCCTCTGCAGATGAGGCCCGCGCCTTCCAAGAGGCAGGGGGCGCGCAAACACGGATCAGCGATCCATGGATGTGGCGCGCGGTCGCCAAGTCCATGGATCGGGGGAGGTGCCCTCCTCAAAATGCGGCAGGTGCCGCCTCGTTCGGCGGCGGAAGTGCGCGCCTCCCCCCGGAAACGGGACCCGTCGCTAATCCACGCCCCCTTGATCCATGGTTTCGATCGCCTTCCAAGAGGCAGGGGTGCTCTGACGAAGCCTTCCCCCTGCCCCTACCCCCACACACCCCTCTGCGCGCCGCTGAGGGCAGGCCAAACAAACTTGTCCGTGAGCGGCGAGGCGGCGAAATCCGCACCAGCGCAACCGCCAGGCAGAGGCACGAGGCAGCGAAGTGGCCAGCGTGCAGGGAGGGAGGGGGGCCAGGCCGACGAGAGGAAGGAGGGACGCCCAGACGCCGAAGAGCTCGACGACGAGCAGCCGGCGGGCGGCAGCAGCCGGCGGGCGGCAGCGGCCAGCAGCCAGGCGAGCAGGCACAGCCGCCGTGCTGGCAGAGGGCGCAGGCATGCGGAGCGGGGGGGCTCTGCCGGCGCGACGGGCGGGCCTCGGCCGCGCGAGCCCCCAACAGGGGGATTTGGGGCACAAACGTATCCCAACAATGTCAAAGAAAAATCACCAAACATTTCGAGAAAGAAATAATATCCCAAATACAAACACAACTATTCAAAGACAGTTTTTTTTTAAACAAACAAAAAAAAAAAAAAAAAAAAAAAACGACTACTCTTTGACTATGCTTGAGGGATCCTCCCGTAGAGGGACAGGCCCGACCTGAGCCTGGCTCTGCCCGAGAACCCGAGCCTCAGGTCGGGCCTGTCCCTCTATACAGGGGGAACATTCAGGAACAGTACAGAAATCGTCTGGGGACTATGTTTGGGCTATTTCCGAGCACTTGGGGACATTTGTTGATACTAGTTTTAATTATCTTGCACAGTTGTGCTCTAGAGCTCGGACATCTTTATTTTCGTGTCGTGTCGTGTCGTTCGTCCCCCTGCCCCCCCCCCCGTCCAGGCTTCCCAGGGCAGCCCCCCTGGGCCACGGACACCTTTGTGCAAGAGCCAGGGCACGCGTGCCACTTGTTTTTCGCCCAACATCCCCCAGTGATTAGAGGGACAGGCCCGACCGAGCCCGAGCCCCCTCGGAGCGCCAGGCGGTCCCGGATGCAGCGCCTCCGCTGCGCAGAGCCCAACCTCTCGCGGACGCCCGCCAGGGCCCGCCGGTCGTGCGCTGGAGAGGAGGCCGCTGCGGGGGGGGCCTGCTCTAAGTCGGGCCTGTCTTTCTACAGGAGGAGTATTCGAAAATTGTCCCAACAAAAAAATATGGGGACGATTTTGAATATTCGTTGACCATTTCTGAACGTTTTTGGGGTATCTTGTTTTCTCGTCCAAAATCCCCCTGTAGGGGGACAGGCCCGGCCGAAGGCCTGCTCTTTCGGGGCTCCCCGACCTCCGCATGACGATGCTGCGCACGAGCACCGCCCCGACGGGGCAGCTGATGGCGAAGGAGAGCGCCACCACGCGGGCCGCATGGCACCACGAGCGGCGCCCCTGCAGGGCGCGCCGCCGGGCCGCCTGGACCCTGTCGACCATCTCCGCCAGCATGTCGTGCCGCCGCCGGGCCTCGTCGCCGCCGGCCTCCGCGGCGGAGCCAGCGAGGGTGCGCAGCGGGGCCCCGTCGTCGTCCAGCTCGCCCGGCGCGGGTGCCTCCAGCTCCCTCTGGACCTCTGGGCTGAGCAGGAACTCCACGTCGTCCTCGTGCATGAGCAGCGTCGCGCACACCTGGTGCGTCGCGCTCCGCTCGGCCAGCATCCTCTTGACGTCCGCCAGGCTGACGTTGCCACTGAGGAGGTCCCACGAGAAGACCACGAGCACCTCCACCGCTGCCTGGACGCCAGCGGCGCACTTGGTGAGGCTGCTGAAGATCTCTACGACAGTGTCCTGCAGCATGCCCGTGCAGGACTCTTTCGCGCCCTCGTGGGTGCCAATGCTCGCGGCCTTGAGCGACAGCACCGCGGTCATGACGGTGGACCCCGTTCGCTTTCTCGTCACGGCGCGGTCGGGAGACACAGCGGTGGCCCCCGGGGTGCGGTCACTGACGACCGATGTTATGGGCTCACCCGCGACGGCCTCCTCCTCGACGGGCGGGGGGGCAACAACCGGCTCGGGAACAATGAACTCCTTGGTGCCCCAGTGGCCTGCCCTCTCGTCCCGGACATCAAACACGTGCGCCGTCAGCAGCATAGTGAGGAACAGAAATACCCCGACGTAGAGTAGCACGGAGCCCAAGGAGTCCGACCAGTCGCCCGCCCAGACCTGCTCGTATGCCTCCGCCGACAGCAGGTTGGCCTGGCTGCACTCGAGCGTGCTGAGGAAGCCCTTCAGGATGGCCCCGAAGAGGGTGAGGTGCGTGGATGCGCACCGAAGCGTGCTGCCCGGGCCGAGCACGGTGGTTAGCCCCTCGGAGGTCCACTCCATGGCATCCTCGTCGAAATAGGCGCACGAGAGGCCGCTGCTCACATTCGGCAGGTCGATGAGGATCGGATCGACGAGGCCCGTCACTGACAGCGTTGCGCCGTCGCTGCCGGACTTCAGGGAGATGCTGATCGCGCCCTCCACCGTCGTGCCCGCTGCGCCCGCGGGCACGGCCGACGCGGGCAGGTTTGCGGCCACGATCACCGCGCTGTCCACCCCGAGTGCGGCGAACAGTGACGTGGGCAGACTGATGTCCACGCCCGTCGCTGCGCTCACGCCTGGCAGCGAGAGAAAGCCGTCGACGGCATCGGCCACGCTGGCCTTGGCGACGGTGACCTCTATTCCGCCGATCGTCGTCGTTATGCTCGACAAGTTCGACGCGAGAAGCTGGAGGGCAGCCATGTCCTCAGCCTTTGCGATGTCCGACAGCGCTGCCAGCTCCGTGGAGTTGCCCGTGGTCGAGGCAGTGGCCAGAACCGTGCCCGTGACCATGGTCGTGGATGTCTCCGTCGCCGTGGTCGCGGCCGTGAATGTGGCCGTGGCCGTGCTCTCGGCCTTCCCCTTCCCCCACGTCGATGATGCCTCCATCTTTATGGTCGTCGTGGTCGCGCTGGCGGTGGTCGTCATAGCGGTCGTCATGGTCGCGGTGGCTTCCTGGCATGTGCGCAGACGTCCAGCACCACCGAAACAGCCAACAACTCCTCCCCCCTTTTCAGCTTCACTTACCTTCTCGGCCTCCTCCTCGTCCTCCACTCGCTCCCGCTTCGTCCTCCTCCTTCTCCTCCTCCTCGTCCTCCTCGTCCTCCTCCTCCTCCTCCTCCTCCTCCTCCTCCTCCTCCTCCTCCTCCCCCTCCTCCTCCTCCTCCTATGTATGTTCCTTCTCCTGTTCCTTTTCCTTCTCCTTTTCCTTCCCTTTTCCTTTTTTTTCTATCCATCCATTTCCGTCCCATCCCTCATCGTCCACCTCTTTCTACAGCCCCTGCTGTTCCCCGTCCTCCCCGTCATCCTTCCCATCGTCCTGCCCCTCCCACAGCGGCTCCCGAAACACCAGCCACACATTGGGAGACCTCACTCCCTCCTCCCCCTCCTCATCCCCCTCCTTTGCCTCCTCCTCCTCCTCCTCATCCTCCTCCCCCTCCTCCTCTTCGTCCTCCTCCTCCTTCCCTCCTCTCCTCCTCCTCTCTCCTGCTCCTCCTCTCCTCGACCTCCTCGTCGCCTCCTCCTCCTCCTCCTCCTCCTCCTCCTCCTCCTCCTCCTCCTCTCCTCCTCCTCCTCCTCCTCCTCCTCCCTCCTCCTCCTCCTTCCTCCCCTTCCTCCCCCTCCTCCTCCTCCTCCTCCTCCTCCTCTCTTCCTTCTCCTCCTCCTCCTCCTCCTCGTCCGCCTCCGCCCCCGCCTCCACATGCGCCTCCTCTCCTCGCCCTCCTCCTCCTCATCTTCTTCCTCTCCTCCGCCTCCTCCTTCCTCCTCCGCCTCCTCCACCCCTCCTCCTCCTCCCCCTCCTCCTTCCTCATCTTCCTCCCCCCTATTAGCATCATCGTTTGTATTAGCATCATTCGTTTGAGTAGTGTCATGGCTTGCATGTTTGCTGATATTGGTGTTCATCATAGTATTACCACCATGCTGTTTATCATCAGACATATCATTACCATCACTGCTAGTAGGTATGATTATCCTTACTTTGAACAGTGGTATTCGTATTAGCATGATTCGTAGTATGCGTCTTCTTAGTATGTGTACTATGATTAGTAAAAGCATTGGATTCGCAGTAGTAATACCAATGATGGTGTCATTCATGTTGTTATTCGTAGTACCATCAAGAGTAATCGTAGTTTGTTTGTTCGTATGATTCGTCGTCGTAATACGTTTGGTTCGTATTGGTAGTTTGAGTATTAGTCTTGCGCGTACGAGTATTATTCTGATTCGAAATATCGTGTTGCTTCTTCATATTCTGCGTGATCAATATTGTTGTGCATACTGCGATTCTTCTTTCATAGATTTTCGCACTGTACTTATCGATAGTATTACCCGTTTTCGCCTTATCGTGCGTATTGCGATTATGATTGATAGTATTCGCATTCGTGCAACTCTTAGCGCCATTATTATTCTTACTATTATTATTATTATTCGTAGTTCCCCGGCTTGAAATTACTATTATTCGGCGGTTTCTTATTGCTGTTGTCATTCAGAATACTTGTCCTCCTCCTCCTCGTCCCCCCCCTCGCCCCCCCCCTCCTCTTCCTCCGCCTCCCCAGGGTCTCAAGAGACGGAACGCGCGCCGACAATCCGAGGTTTCCGCCCGAGGAGACCCCAACAGGCACCCAGGAGGCCCCCAAAAAACCCAAGGGGGCCCCAAAAGACCCCAAGAGGCCCCCCAAACAGCAACAACGAAAACCACGAGGCCCCAACACGGCACCTAAGAAGCAAGCGCCCAAAGTGCTTTCAAAGACCCCCCGAAATACCTCCCACGAAATCCCAACGAACATCCAATGGGCGTGATGGGGCGAAGGCCATTAAATACGGCAGAATGAAACACGGACAGGAAAGGCGGGGCTGGGCGCGGGTAAACAAATGCGCGCGGCGCTAAGGCGAGAGCCACACTTTGACAACCACCCGCCCTCAGTCCGTGAAGCTCTGGCAAATTTGCGCCAACGAATGTGCGCGGCGCTAAGGCGAGACCCACATTTTGAAAACTCGCCGCTTTCAATCAGCGAAGCTCTGGGAACTGTTTAAACAAATGCGCGCGGCGCTAAGGCGAGAACAACATTTTGAAAGCAACCCGCCCTCAATCCGTGAAGCTCTTGCAAATTGTTAACCGAATGCGCGCGGCGCTCAGGCGAAGCCACATTTTGAAAACAACCCGCCCTCAGTCCGCGAAGCTTTTGCAAATTTGTGCAAACAAATGCGCGCGGCGCTAAGGCGAGAGCCACATTTTGAAGAAAAAATAACCTCCGTGTGCGAAACTGCTGCCATTTCTCAAGCTTCAGAACCACAAATTGTGAGGAAGTCTCCAGGGAAACGCCCGGCCCGCCCTAAAAACTTGCCTCGGGGTGCGACAGGGAGAAGTTGCATTTAAGGAAAAAGTCGCTGCCCTGATCCCCACATCTGCGAAACACGCACCGTGGCGACGAAACAAAACGTCTCATACCCCAGGCCGTGCCTGCGCGACAAGGTTCGGCTTTCACAAACTGCACGCAGCTGAAAAATCAACCGCCGCGTGTCTCACGGCGGCAGTGCGCTCCGCGCGCCGCCGCGGGTCCTCTGGCCTCGACCCCGGCGGGAAAGAGGGAGGAGGAAGAGTCCTGGTTTCACCCCCGGGCCAGAAACTGGCAAATCCCCCCAACGTTCCCGTCTTTCGCGCTCTCCTGGCCCATCGCTTGTTCTGCAAAGGACGTGGACAGACGCGAGGCCTGGGACGCATCCCCTCCCCGCGCACTTCAAACCAGGCCCCTCATCCTCCTCCTTCTCCTCCTCCTCCCGTTTTTATCATTATGCTTATTATTATTATTATTATTATTATTATTATTACTATTATTATTATTATTAATATTAATATTAATATTATTCTTATTATTATCATCATTATTATTATTATTCATATGAATATTCGTCTTCTTCTTAATATTATTATTCTGCATATTATTAGTAGTAGTATTATTCATCGTATGTTTAGCATGATTAGTATCAGTATTATTATTATTATTATTCTAGTTCTTACGATTCGTAGTCTTAGTCGTCTAAATTTTAGTATTATTATTCGTCGTAATAGTAATGTGATTCGTAAAATTCTCATCCGTCTTCTTATCATTAATACGAGTATGTGTTATGATTCGTAGTATTATTCTTATTCGTAATATCATTCGTCTTCTTAGTCTTCGTATACGTATTCTTAGTATTATTTTGAGTATTATCATTAGTATTCGTATTCGTCTTATTTTTCGTATTATTCTTATTTTTATGATTCGTCTCCTTCTTCCTCCTCCTCCTCCTCCGCTTCCTCCTCCTCCTCCTCCTCCTCCTCCTCGTCATTATGATTATTATTAGTGTTAGTAGTATTGATATTACTCGAATGCTTCTTCACATGATTATGCATGAGCATTGCTATTATTGGTAGTAGTATGGTTTACACTTATTCCGAATATTGATATCACCATTATCAACAGTCATATCAGTATGATCCGTATACGTCGTATTGCGATTATTCTTCTTCTTATCAATAATACCCTGATTGGCATTGTTCTTCGTACCAGTATTGATGTTACGATCAGAACCAGTGCGCGCTTCACGCGCGCTCAAATTCTAGCTCGGCTGGATAATCGAACTCTTGGGGATATGTGTTACATGACACTTCTTCTCCGTGGCGTCCAAGAACCACGAAGACGACCCAAATGGCTTACAAGATTTCCTACGGTCCACCCACGACGGCTCAAGGCAGGCCTCAAAGGCACTTCGGGAGTCATTGTATTCGCCGCGGCTGGACGTAGCCAGAGGAAGGGAGGAGAAGGGGAGGTGAAGGGGTTCCTTTGGGAAGAAGGAGGAGAATGAGGAGTTGGAGAGGGTGGAGGAGGCCGCAGAGGAGGAGGAACCGGCAGAGGAGGAGAAGGACATATGATGTTTCCTTGTTTGCAAGCGTAGCGAAGCTGCCAGGCGAACTAACAAAAATCTTGGAATTCCCATGTTCCTCAAGTGCCCTCGGGGCCTCTGGGGGCTCGATTGGGCCTCTTTGGGGCTTCTTGGGGACCTCTTGAAGCCACCTGAGAGCCTCCTGGGGCGAAGATCTCGGTTTCTCGGTTCACGTTCACGATCCTGGGCCGCGGTTGGGGCCCTCTCGGGCCGCCTTGGACGTCTCTTCGGCGCTTTTGAAGCCTATTGGGCCGTCTTGGGGTGATCATCGGTGCCTCTTGGAGCATTTTGCAGCGTCGGGAAGTGGAACTTGGCCCCTTCGAGCTCTGTTGGGAGACCTCTTGAAAGCCTCTTGGGTATCTTGGAGGCCTCTTGGGCTGTCTGGAGACCGTCTTGGACCATCTAGTGGCCTTCGGCCCATCCCGCTACGGTGCCTGGGTGTTAAAGGCCTCTTGGAAGTTCGTTTGGAATTTCGTTGGAGGCCTCCTGGGGGCCTCTTGAAGGCAGTTTTGAAAGCCTCTTGGGGGCCGTTTGGGGTCTCCTGGGGCCTCCTTTTGGGTCTCTTTGGAGCGTCGTGGGGGCGGGGCTCTAATCAGGGGGCCTCTAGGGGGGCCCTTGGGCTCTGTTGGGGGCCTCTTGGGGCCTCCTAGGGGCCTCCTGGGGGCCTCTTGGGGCGGAAGGCTCGAATCGTCGGTTCGTGTTCCCCCTCTTGGACCCCTCTTAGGGCCGTCTTGGGGCCCTCTTGGGCGATCTTGGGCGCCTCTTGGGCCGTCTTGGGGCGCTCTTGGGCCGTCTTGGGACTCTCTTGCGCCGTCATGAGTTTGGGCGCCCTCTTTGGGTGCCTCTTGGGCCGTCTTGAATTGATTTCTGGGGCCTCGTGGGCTGTATTGGGCCGTCGGAAACATGAAAAAGCGAGAACACGAAAAACCTTTAAAAGCCTGAACTACTTTTTCGCCTCCCGAGGCTTGGCCGTCTTGAGGCCACTTTGGGCTGTCTTCAAGCCATGTTGGACCAATATTGGAACGCTCTTGTGC